TCTCTCAGCGAGTTTTAAAATACAATATTGTTTTTTATTTTCCTTAGATGGGTTGTTATAATGTCCGCGTGGCGTCGAGGATCGGTAGTCTTTTTGTTTCCTGCTGCTGGTCATCTTAACAGGAAGAACCATAAAACACCAGTGCCATCTCAGCTGCTTCCTGTTTGTTTTAGGACCTTTTTATTTATTTAATAAGATTTTACCACTGCTTTTTAAAGCTAAATAGTTTAGCTGCAGATGTTTTAAATCCAGATACAAAAATGAAGGGAATCTTTTTTTCTTTTTATTGATTGTGTTTTTCTTGTGAAACCAAAAGTTTGTTTTAATGGCTGATGTCCAAACCTTTTCATTGGTAGTTGATGAAGTAGGGTTTGACTTCTGTATTTAATTATTGATTATTGTGGTTTTATTAGACAACTTAATTTAATTTAATTGTTTGAATTGACCTTTTTTGGGAGCCAGTTTTTTACTTTTTCTTCACGTGTGTGTTTATTTTTTATTTTTGTTTTTTAGCTCTGTTGAGTTTACTTGATTAAAGTGTTACGTGTTCGTTGTGGTTAAAAACATAACAACAGGGACACCACCACCACTCCGGGTTGGTTTTGGCCCCAGGGCAGAAGTCCCAGTTGATGTTGTTTCCCCAGAGGACCAGTTCCAGACTTCTCTCTCACAAAACAAGACAAATGTCTAGATCCTCAATCCAGCAGAGACTGTGACACCAGAGGATACGATTGTGTTTATCATTTTATTGTTTGGATTGTTCTCACAGTTCAGCTTCTTTTGTCAAACGAGATGCTTTTCTGGATCATTTGTTGCCAATAGTGCTTAAAATGCTCTTCAAATATCAACGGCAGCCGAAAATTAAATATTTTGTCAAAAAATGAAAATGAAAATTTTCATTTCACAAAAAAGGAATACAGAAAGTATTTGCATTTAAATTCTTAAAAAAGAAATCGATACACTGCTTTTAAATATTGATTCAGTATCATAATACAAAATATCACAATATTTCTGTGTACCAACATTTTTTTTACATTCCTAGAGATTATCTGCTGCATCCACCATTCTCCTGAGTTGTGGGGGGGCATTGTTTATGTTAATTTATTTATTTGGCAGATGCTTTTATCCAAAGCGATGTACAATTGTTAACCTATAGGGCATGCTGTGATCTGTGGGGTTAAACCGGAGTACCCGGAGGAAACCCACGCATGCGTGGGGAAAACATGCAACTCCATGCAGAAAGCCTGCAGCTGAGTTTCAAACCTGCAACCTTCTTGCTGCCAGGCAACAGTGCTAACAACTGCACCACCATGCAGCCCCAGCATGGTCTGTGGAGGAGTCAGAAAAATGGGTAGGGCCATTAAATTGTGTATTTTCAGGGCATTCGTGGGGTCTTGAAAAGTATTAAAAGTTGATAAATTGGTTTTAAGGAAAATTAAGACTCTTTAAAAAGTCTTACATTGATTTAGTGAAGTCTTAAAGAGCAAGTCATCCCTAGATAAACTGTCTTTTGCTGATGAACTATATAAATGAGTGTCTAATCGTGCTGTACACGTGTTGTCAATAATTTGGCACTTAACTGCATCTTAGTCGAAATTGAAATATTCTCCCTAACACTGTCATTGTTGCGCCCTCTTCAGGTAAAAAAAAATCTGCACTACAATTTAATTTAAATCTGTCATTGCTTTTGGATAAGAGATACCCTGTGATTTTAGCTGGTGATGTCACAAGAGCCTGTGTTTGTGTGTATTTGTTAGTGGCTCCACCCTCTAGGTCTGCCAAGCAACACCTCCTTATGGCACTTTTTTCAAACACGAAATGGGAGCAGAGTTAGACTCTGGTAGGGGGTGACTTGCACTTTAAATTTGGTTTGTATTCACGCATATTTAAAATAAGTTCCTCTTTCAAAATAGACTCATGTAAATTAATACAAATATTTTAGTTCTTCAATGCCAGCTGTTTGCTTTCATTTCCGTGGCACGTGACGTTCAGTCATTGATTTAGTTCACTGCAAGACAGTTTTAATTGTATTTTAGAAGGTCTTAAAATGTCTTAAAGCTATTCAATTCAATTTTGAGATCCTTGCATATACCCTGATTGTTAAAATGTAGCTTGCTCAAAAAGCTTTCACAGGAACTCTTTCCTCACTTTCAAGGATTGAGCTTTTCTTTCATTTTCTTCTACCACTGCTGTTTATTGTATTACCGTAAATCCTCTAATACAGGCCCGGGCCTGTATTTGACTCAAGCCCATCAAGCATGAAGCAGCCTGCTCGACCCGAGCATCTCTCTTTTTCTGTGATTTTACAGAAAAATAGACTATCAAAATAAAAATGCCAGAGCTCATTCTACAGGACCAGGGCATTGCAGGAGAATGTATGAAGAAGACATTTATTATTTCTATACATGTTTTGGCTGTCAAACTTCCATAATGCCCCTTTAACTGTTGCTATTAAAGAGCTTGCATGGCTTTTAAATGGGCCAGGAACGATGAATGGGATATTAAACACCAGATTGTTGCTTTTCAGTTGCTATTTTTGTTAACATTTGTTATAAATCATCAAGTTAGACAGGGTGGGTGAAGAATATTTATATTTATAGCTATTAAATTCCTAATTCTAACCTTTATTTGTGTTTTCTAGCACTGCTAGTTTTTCTAGTCATTCTTATGTCTCCTGCTTTCTTCCTACCTGACCTCTCGACAATAGACGTCCTGCTGAGGTTTGAACCGCACATGACCTCATCGCTGCATCACAATAGTCTCACCAAATGTGCTTAGCGGAAATGGCTTCACTGTAGTAATCCATCCATCCTTGGAGAGGACTTGTTGCGTAACCCATTGGCTCTGCTGCTACTTAAGGTTCAAAGGTTGCTTCAAATTGTGACAGACTGGTTAGGGTTAAAGTGGTCTGGTCCTTTTTGCAGTCAAACATCTTAAAGATGTTTATGTAGATATTCTTGTTTGTAAGGGGTAGCTCATCAAAGAAAAAGTTGAGTCTTTGCTTGTGCTTAGGAGAGTTGTGCACGTGTGCGCGTTTGTGCTCCCTGTAATCTCCCCGACTCCTTGTCATCCTGTCTTATTCCGTCTGTCTCTCCGATCACTGCGTCACGCCGAAGTGTCAGCTGTCCCCTTAGTGAGACGCCTCCCATCCTCGCTCTAATCTCCACACTGAGCTAAATTTATATACATTCACAGTTTTTTCACAACTCAGTGGGACTGCAGTGGAGACACGTGATTGGTGACATGTGCCAACCTTATGCTGATTTCTTTGGTTTTTAAGCCTTCTTAGGAATAATGTTAGGGTATTTAAAATGTGCCATAGTGGCATTTTGATTTTTTTAAACCCACACCATTTGTTTCTGTAACTTTCATATAATTGCTTTTCAAAGGAATAAATAAATGATTTTGAGTGGTGATGCCTGTTATCTGGATTGTGCAGAACAATTGAACAATTGGTGCTCTTTGCATTTTACAGAAGGCTGACCAGACTCATCCAGCTCGACTGAGGTTGCACTCTGAGTGCATAAGCCACACTAACGCCATGTCCTGTGTTGTGTGTTTAAGCGTGCAAAGCCCACGTGCTTCTGTCAGTGAAAGCGGAGCTGCTCCTTTCTTAGGATTACTCCTCTGGGAACAGGCTGAGTCACGCTACTCAAGACCAGAAAGGGGAAGAGCATCGTAATGTCTTTAATGGTGGTGATGATATTGTCAAAGAGACTGGTTATAAATAGTTAGGCCCGAGCAGCGAAGTGAAAAAGAACCCCTGTCTATTGACTGTTTTTTATAGTAGAGTGATGAAATTTGGTACACTTGTAGAACTTGCCAATACGCACAGAAAAGTCTTTTGCACCGATGGTCAACATCAAACAGAAAGTCGGCCATTTTTGATTGAAGTAGCGATTTTTGCCCCATTTTGGTCGTTTGTAGGGTCTGTATTTGATTGAACAGTTTGCTCATTTTTCGCACTGTCTCAAAATGTGTCTGCGATCAATCAGAAGGGATGGGCGATTGAAATGAGAAAATAAAATTGACTTTTCGAAAATACTGAAAGGGCAGGGCCAGGCCTCGAAGTTTGATCACTCGCTAAAAATTTTTAAATGGCTATAATTTCATAAATGAAAAAATTACAGTTACAACATTTTCTATGGACATTCCTCATCGGTCCCCAAAGGCAAATGAATGGTCGATATATATATATATATATATATATATATGTGTATGTATATATGTGTGTATATATATGTATATATACACACATTCACATATATATACACACATATATATGTATATATGTGTATATATGTATATATATACATACATATACACACATATATATACATATATGTGTGTGTATATGTATATATATGTGTGTATATGTATGTGTATATATATATATATATGTGTGTGTATATGTATATGTGTGTGTGTGTGTATATATATATATACACACACACACATATATATACATACATATATATATATATATATATATATATATATATATATGTATGTATATATATATATCTGTGTGTGTGTGTATATATATATACACACACACACATATATATACATACATATATATATATATATATATATATATATATATATATATATATATATATATACATACATATACACACATATATATACATATATATGTGTGTATATATATGTGAATGTGTGTATATATACATATATATACACACATATATACATACACATACATATACATATATATATATATACATATATATATATGTATGTGTGTGTGTATATATATATATATATATGTATAATAGTGTCATCTGTTTAGGCATTCAGCTGACTTATTTAGAATCACTGTTGCTTCAACGACATTTTGATCAAGGTTGCTTTGACCTGAACTGTTGTCAGGATCTGATTAATGGCACTAAACAGCCCTGGTTCAGTTTATTTGCCTCAAAATCGTGATCGAGACAGAGAAATCTTTTGTTTACTTTTGCTTTGTGTGTGTTTTATAGGTGGTGTTGGTGCGGTGGAACGAACCTTTCCAGAAACTGGCCACTTGTGATACAGATGGAGGGATTTTTGTTTGGATTCAGTATGAGGGCCGCTGGTCTGTGGAGCTGGTTAACGACCGTGGAGCACAGGTTAAGAGCTAAAAAATCACTTGAGAGGCAAATCAGCAGTGCATTTCTGCTTGTTTTATATACATTCTTCTAACATAGACAGTGTTGCAGAGCAAAAGACAGACGTGTAATAAATAAGGAGCATTTAGGATAGTAATAAATACATTATTGTAGCTCTTGACGTGTGGCTTTTGGCTTTTACAGGTCAGTGACTTCACATGGTCACATGACGGCACCCAGGCTCTCATCTCATATCGTGATGGCTTTGTCCTGGTGGGATCTGTCAGTGGACAGAGACACTGGTCTTCTGAGATCAACCTGGAAAGCCAGATCTCTTGTGGGATCTGGACCCCTGACGACCAGCAGGTAATATTCAGACCCACTTCCAGGGAGCTCAGGTGTGGTTAAAGGTGGCGTGTGCAAACCATTAAAGAGCCAGTAGACGAAGACATGGCTTCCCTTGTGCAAAGTGTTTAGGGCAGCTAGATTTAGGACATAACAATTCACTGTATTTTGGGTCATTCATGCTAATACAACATACAGTTTTAAATGTTTTTATTTGCCAAACTGATTACGTACTCTCTGAAGATTATTTATAAACGCCAAAAAGCATTCAATGTTTTGTGTGGTTTTTTAGGCTTTGTACAAAGATTTACACAACATTTTTATTTTCTCCAGCTTGTTGTTTTTTTTTTAACTAGATTGTTGTTGCTTCTTACTTCTTAGGATTTTTTTTTTTTACCATATTCTGCCAAGTGACCCTGGGCTGTTTCCTCCTCAGGTGCTGTTTGGTACTGCAGACGGACAGGTCATAGTGATGGACTGCCATGGGCGGATGCTGGCCCACATACTGCTGCACGAGTCTGACGGTATCGTCAGCATGTCCTGGAACTACCCCAGCTTCCTGGTGGAGGACAGCAGCGAGAGCGACACGGACTCTGATGATTACACACCGCCGAAAGGTATTCTTCTAGAACTTGATCTGACCTTTAAAGTTCTTGATACGCAACCTTAAATGTCTCAAAGAGCTTGCTGATGACTGGCACAGGTATTTATAAGGTTAAATGTTGACTTGTTTTTTTAGTAAAATACTTATTCTGTACACAATAAATATTAAAAGTGTATTTTGATTTATTTATATCAATGTTATAATTATTTAATTCTCCTATGACTAAAACGGGGATGTGTTTCTTCTATTGCCTGCTCCTTCTACACCACAATTAGTGCGTTAGTTTGATTTGTACTTTAATCACTCCTCCTTGTCACGGTCGTGCGTTTGTGATCCTGTCCTCCCACCTCTTGGCTCTTTCTCCTTCCCTCCCTTCTCCACAGGCCCGAGTGATAAAGCAGCAAAGTGCTTGCCTAGCCCAGACCACTGATTATGCTCTCACTCATTAAAACTATTCAATAGGAATTGATCGGCCTTCGTAGAAATGACCTCTCAAGCTCACAGCCTGACTGAAATACAGCTTCTGATACTCTCAACACGCTAAGGTGACGCAGATACTTGTGTTGGTGTCTCTTCTCAGTGCACAGCCAGAAACCACTTCTGACCGTCAGCTTCACCTCTGGAGACATCAGCCTGATGAACAATTATGATGACCTCTCACCCACCCTCATCCGCACGGGGTTAAAAGGTGTGCTTTAGCTTCTCTTTCTCCTCACGCCACCTTGTGTTTATAATGTCTGAGCGGGCTGTATGCCCATCTTCTCCTTTGCTGCAGATGTTGTGGTCCAGTGGTGCTCTCAGGGGGACCTTCTGGCAGTGGCAGGGATGGAGAGAACCCTCCTCTCTCCTGACAACCCCTGTCCTCCCCCCACCAGGAACGCCATTGTCAAGTTCTTTAACGTTCAGGGAGAACACATCTACACACTTGACACACCAGCACAGGTGCAGTTATGACAAATTACTTCTAATGTAATTCACTGTTTCACAAGACTAATCGTGTGAAAGGAAATGGTTTCTGCTACATCCCATCTTCTCCTTCACACTGCAGCGCCCCATCACTACGCTCTGTTGGGGTCACCGGGACTCACGGCTGTTTCTAGCGTCGGGCCCGGTGCTCTACGTCGTACGAGTGGAGCACCGTATTGGGGCGCTGCAGCTCCTCTGCCAGCAGGCGATCGCCACAGCGGTGAAGGAGGAAAAAGATGTTGCCAAGCTCACCATGCCTTCCCGTTTGTGTTCATACGTCACAGCTGCTTTTGTCCCCACCATCAAGGTAACGCCACCTTTACTTGTTTAATACCAGCGATGAAAATCTACACATGCAAACATCTGCAGCTCAGCAATAAAATATTTTCATGTTGTTGTTTTTTACTCTGCATCTCCAGCCCCCGATTCCAGACCCCAACAACATGCGTGACTTTGTGAGCTACCCGACAGCTGGTAACGAGCGACTGCACTGCACCATGAAGCGCACGGAGGACAACCCCGAAGTGGGAGGGCCGTGCTATACTCTATACCTGGAGTACCTAGGAGGTCTGGTGCCTATCCTGAAGGGCCGACGAATAAGTAAACTTCGCCCAGAGTTTGTCATCATGGATCCCAAAACAGATGGTAAAACAGGTGGGACTGAGTTTGTGTCCAATTTCACGAGAGCCAGATTTCAAAGTAAAACCAGAAACGTTTAGGTTTATTTAATGTATTGCTGACATCCCTCTTTAGTTTTTCAGAATAATGTCCTCACTTGGCTCTCAGAGAGTGTGTTTCAGCCGCACAAGGAAGGTTGGGTCCTTGTTAATTAAGAGCTGCTTAATAGGAGCTCTGATGGCTCTTATTTTTCCCACAAATCCACCCTGGCCCCACCCCCTCCACTCCCCCACACAGTGATAAATGAAGCCAGCCATGAAATGGCTCCAACCTATTCACACTCATTTCCATCAAACAATTGAGGGAGCAGCAGTTCCGTTAAAATATGGCTAAATTTAACTCTTTAAAGAAATTTCTGATATTCTGTTTTCTCAGATGAGATATACGGCAACAGTCTGATATCGGCCATGATCGACAGCTGTAACTGCTCTGACTCCAGCGACATAGAGCTGAGCGACGACTGGGTCGGCAAGAAGTCTCCAAAGATATCCAGGGGAAGCAAATCTCCTAAACTCCCCAGGTAACTGCAACATGCAGATCCCAAACTTTATTTATTTGTTTAGTGTGTTTAAATTTAGACTTCCTTATAATTAATTATCTATAAATGAAAAGACTTGTCTACATATATTTAAATATTTCCATTAAAGGTGTAGTTCACTGAAAACCATTTTTAAAATCTTATTTCTGATCAAAGCTAACTGCTAGCCTTTATATTAGCTAGCAGCACACTGCCACTTAACATTCATGGACTCACCCATCTTGGCTCACGACAGGGAAGGCTCATGTTGGTTTAGCATTCGGGAAACAGCAGAGAACATCTTGGTTGGTAGAAGCTAACCATTAGCATTAGCAACTCCACAACACAGCAGAAGTCCTCCAGGCTTGAGTTATTTGTGAAGATAAAACATCCACTGGTAAAGTCACGTTGCTGTTAGCCAATCAGAGGCGAGATGTCCAAATATCAGGAAATAAGAGTCCACACCTATCGTCTGGATCTCAGCTGTGATGCGACTCACTTCTAGTTCCCCAAGCTGCTGCACCAGAGCTTGACTTACAATTAATTCCTCATAGAGACTTGTGCAAATATATTGATTAAGCAAGTGATCCACACCTTTGAGAAATATTTACATTTTTAATGTTTAAGTTACATTTGAGATGTTTTTATTTAGCAAAAAGATTATTTGTTGTCCACGTAACAGTTTTATTTGACACCACCTCTCGCACATTTACTGCCACTTAAAGTTTCAAATATATACATACAACCAAATGTTTTAAAGCAGCTAAACGGTAACTGTTTCATTCATGTAAATTGTGCAAAACTGCTTATAACTTTCTACTGCTACTGAAATGTATTTTCATGTTTTTTTCACAGCATGCCTAAACCTTTGTTATTTGCTACCTTCTCTGTAGAGACTTAGTTTGTCCCTTTACCAACAGGATTAACATTGACCCCAGAAAATCACCCAAACTCTCCCGTGCTAACCAAGAGATCTCTAGGTCACCGCGCTTACCCATTCGGAAACCCTCAATCGGGTCTCCCAGCCTTTCTCGAAGGGAATTTCCTCTGGATGACATCAACCAGGTAGATATTTCATCGTTTTGATAAGAAAAGCCAGATTAGAGAACATGTCTCACTCATGATGCCTATGTGTGGAGGTGGACGTGATTATGGCTTGTGTCTGTGTATTTTTCATGTTACTATTCTCACATTTTTTGTTAATCTTTTGCAGCAAAATTACCTTGCTCAGGTCACGTCCAATATTTGGGGAACAAAATTCAAGATTGTGGGGCTGGCCACGTTTTTACCTGCTAATCTCGGAGCAGGTAACCTGTCTGCTGTAGATTACCTTAGATCACCTGTTCTCCATATGATTATTATCTTTTCTTCCCCCCCCCCCCCCCCCCCTCTTTACAGTTATCTATAAGACGAGCCTCCTCCACTTGCAGCCCAGACAGATGACCATCTACCTGCCAGAGGTGCGCAAGATCTCCATGGACTACATCAACCTGCCTGTTTTCAACCCCAATGTTTTCAGTGAGGATGAAGATGACCTACCTGTCACGGGCCCTGCTGGAGGCACTGATGACAACCCCCCCTGTACTGTAAACATCCCTATAGCCCCCATCCACAGTCCTGCTCAAGCCATGTCCCCTGCCCAAAGCATAGGTCTGGTCCAATCACTCTTAGCCAATCAGAACGTCCAGCTGGACGTCCTAAGTAATCCCACCGCAACCCCCGCTGGAGCATCTGCCAGTGGCTCAGACCAGAGCCAGGATACAATCTTGACTGCTCAGTACACGGTACCCACCAGGTACTCCAGTCCCGGTCAGGTCATCTTTGGAGGACTAGAAGTGGGGCGCCTAATGGTTGGGCCTCCACCTTCTCATCACCCATTACAGCAACAACAAAGCCAACAGCAACATCTGCAACATCATCAGCAAGTTCAGCAGCAGCAGCTCCAACAGCAGCAGCAGCTCCAACAACAGCAGCAGATGCTCCAGCACCAACACTTACAGCAGCAACAGCAGCTCCAGCAGCAGCTCCATCAGCACATACTGATGCAGCAACAGCAACAACAAATTCAGCAAATCCACCTGCAGCACCAGATGCACCATCAGCTCCAGGCTCAGCATCACCACCATCAGCTTCAGCAGCTTCAGATCCAAATCCCTGTCTCCTCTGTGTCATCAGGCCAGCCTTCAGGTGCCTCTCTGCACCAGCTGCAGACAGGGGCCCTACAGATCCAGATCCCTCACACACCTGCTGACTTAGTCAATGACAGAACATTGGGAGGTGAACAGGAACACTTACTGAAAATCAAAACCACTCGGTCAACTCCACAGCTCGCTGATGGTGATACAGTTGTGTTCAGTGCACCTTTAGAGCTCAGCAAGATGACCCCACCACCCCCTTACCCTGGGACTGTGGCTGCAGCAGCTGCAGCCGCCTCACCTTCAGCGTCTTCTTCTGTTCCAGGAGGGGGAACAGGTGGAACTCCTCCCCCGGGTGATCTTTGTCTGAAGAAGGGGGATTTTACTCTTTATTCTTCAGGTCAGCAGCAAGCGCAGTACCCCACGCCACTGGGCTATGAGAGGATAACAACCTTTGACAGCAGTGGGAATGTGGAAGAAGTGTGTCGACCACGAACACGCCTCGTCTGCAATCAGAATGTCTACACACTCCAAGGACCTGGCAATTCTGCCACTCTCAGGGTCACTTCCTCTTCATCCTCTGCAGCCGACAAGAAAATTCAGCTGCCCTACACCTCTGCTACTCTCAACAGACTCACTGCGCCTCGTTACTCCATACCCAGCGGAGACCCTCCTCCGTACCCCGACCCAGCCAATCAGAACAGTGCTGCTGGGAGGAACGCCAGTCAGAGGCTCGACAGCAGTCTGATTCACGCAACACTCAGGAGGAACAGCCGAGAGGCCGCACTCAAAGTTTCCCAGATGCTGGAACCACCTAGACCACTGCCTCCTAAGGCTAAAAATAATGCACTAGCAGCCTCCTTCCAGCAGAGGGTGCCAACAGCCTTATACACCTGCAGCCAGTGCAGCAATGGGTCCAACGTTGGAGGCACTGCACCAGGGAGTGCTAACGGAATAGCGGGAGGAACAATTATCCGGCAGGATTTCCCTCCAGGGAACGGAGCGCCACACAGCACAGTTATTGTTCACTCCAACAGTGCTGCTCCTCTCGCCTCCCAGTCCTCCTACAGCCTCCTGAGCTCACTTGAAGGATCTGGGAGTGCAGCCGGAGGAGGAGGCAACAGAGATCGGGCTGATTATGTTAATTCAGCATTCACTGAGGATGAAACAATGAACCAGTCACTAAGGCACCTGGCACTGGGAGGAAATGAGGCGTTAGGGCTGGTTGTCAAACGCCCCCCTCCCTACCAGTGGGATCCAGCTGCCACAGAGGAGGTATGGGTTCCTCAGGAAAGGACAGCATCTTTGAGCTCCAATGTCCCTCCGGCACCACACAAGCCACCCCCGCTTGTCCTTAGCCCAGCCCAGCACTTGGATGTAACCAGAATGCCTTTAGTTCTTTCTCCAAAGTCCCCCAGCAGCCCCAGTGTTGCATCATTCCAAGCTACCGCAGCAGCTACAGGCTACCAAATCTCTCTCCAGTACCCTCCTGCAACTGCCTGTACTGGAGCACAGCTGCAGCCCATGCCTGGGTCACCACGCCCCTTCAACTCCCCAAAAGAGGTGGTGGCACCCATTCCCCTGCCACAGCAGGAAGCAACCCTTGTTTTATCACCAGGCTATGCTGCAAATGTGGCTAACCTAGCCTGCTGTCCCCTCCCACCGTTGTATCCAGGAGGAAGTTCTTGTGCTGGACATCCCATTCCTCCCATTGCCCTTCACACACCGTGGGGTACTTATAATTCTTGTCCCCCTTTACCCAGTCCTGCCATCCCACTACCCCCCAAAGCCTCCCACATGGCAGCAGAGAAAAATGTTCTCTCACCACCTCCTCCTCCCCCTCCACTGCCCCTTCCACCACCACCAGCGGAGCTGCAGAGCCATGGTGCTTTACAGGAGGCCATGGCAGAGGCAGGAGACGGTTTTCAAGAAGTGCTTTCTCTGACCGAGAGCCCTGCTCTGCAGCGGTCCGAGAAGTTCAGCAAGAAGAACCGCAAGCGAATGGACGGTCGGGCTGAAGAGGCTAACGTGTCTCAGTTAGCTGACGGGAGCAAATCTAAAAAGGACGGCAGAGCTCTGGGCGATTTCAACTCCCTCATCTCTAGCCCACGGCTCGGGGGAAGAGACAAGAAGAAGCTGAAGGGACAGAAAGAGCAGCAGATGAAGGCGAAGAAGCTGAACAAGGCTACAGCCAGCAGCGAGTTCCAGGATAGTTCAGAAAGTGAACCAGAGCTGTTTATCAGTGGGGATGAGCTCCTCAATCAGTGCCAGAGCAGTAAGAAGGGCTGGAAGAGTAAAAGAAACATGAGGGCTGCCAGCGAGCTGGATGAGATCAAGTGTCGAAAAGCCAATGAGAAAGAAGACCGAGGACTGGGCAGCCAGGGGTTTGTTTATGTCATGGCCAACAAGCAGCCCCTGTGGAATGAAGCCACGCAGGTCTATCAGCTGGACTTTGGTGGGCGTGTCACGCAGGAGTCAGCCAAGAACTTCCAGATTGAGCTGGAGGGCAGGCAGGTAAGACGTCTGCTTTAATCAGGTCACCAAGCAGAAATCTGCTCTCCACAAACTGAAAGAGAATGAATTTGTGTTTCTAATCAGTGTGTCTTCCTTCTGCTTCATAGGTGATGCAGTTTGGCAGGATTGATGGCAACGCCTACATCCTGGACTTCCAGTACCCCTTCTCTGCTGTCCAGGCGTTTGCAGTGGCTTTGGCAAATGTCACTCAGCGCCTCAAATGAGATGTCTCCTCCCAACTTATCCTGATCATATCTGGAATTCAAATGCAATCTGCTAAACAGGGCCCAGCCGTACGGATCTGAGATGTTTAAACTCTCGAGGTGGATTTTGGAGAAAAGACTCCGCCATAAAGAGAGAAATACAATCACACTGCACTACACGATGCTGCCACTAGATACGGCGTAATAAGCGTCATTACCGTTGAAGAACCCCATGAGATCTGTTCCGTTTGGCAGTGAGCGGCACCCACCTCCCAGCATGTAGGGCCGAAGCGCTGAGCTTGGGAAATCATCATGCAAACAAATGCTGCTTTTAGGTAGAAACTCGTAGGGACCGGATGGGTTGAAGGAAAGCGGGCTTGTCGAGGTGCAGCTTTCCATAAAAGCAGCAGTAATACTTGAAAACCACACTCTGGAGGTTAAAAGTTTCTTTTTTTCCCAGAGCGCACAGGTACTTCTGGGCACTGAAATCCATTGCTGTACAAAACTTTAGTGAAACAGTTACCACTTTAATAGACTGCTTTTCTTATATTTTTATTAAACGACAATACGTTATTGAATTTAGGAGGTTTTTTCTGTTTGCTTTCTGTCATTCCTATTTGTTTTTGTTGTATTATCTCAGTGTCTTGGTGGGAGTTTAACTGATATATGCATTATTTATAAACACTACTAAGAGGTGAGACTTTTCACTGTAAGACGTAGAAGTAGGTATGGCTGAGGTCAGCTGCAGTCTTTACCATATCACACTTAAGAGGTTGACGCTACATGGAGTAATTTATACGTTTTTTTTTTTTAATTTAAATAAGACTTTTTTAAAAATCTTTACCAATACCAACCCTCACACCCCCTAATCGCCGTTTTCTTACCTGTTTTATTTGGGAGACTGAATTTGAATATTGCTGTGCACTTGGAGAATTCAGGTGGGGGTGGTTTACAGAATAGCTTTGGCCGACAGCCTGTTTACTTAGATATCTGAATATGGTGACAGAAGGGCGCCAAAGACGTCGCCAAGGCCTAGGCTGAACGATTTAACCTCTGACATGAAGTGAAATGTCACCTGCAGTCACTTCTGTGAAGTGAGTATGTATTTGGGGAAGTCCTTGCTCTTTGAGACCACACTACACTTGTTCGCATGGTACAGGAAATATTTTTGTATATTCCACCTATGCCATTTCATACCCTTCTCAGAAGTCGTGTAAATAATCAGTTGTGTAAAAATGTTGAGACTTGGGTGACATGTTCTGTTTACGCCTGCCTCCACTGTGTTTCGGTTCAGGTGTGGAGTCGAGCTGTAAGACTGTTGAGGTCAGCAGTAGGAACCACAACATAACTTAAGTTGAAGCCATTGTCACTCCGTTTATTAAGTCTCCACTGAAGGATGATGGTTGTGAAATCAGTCTAAGCTGGATTTAATCTAAAAGGCTGGTTTATTTTGATGTTTTGGGCCGTGGTTTGTTACAAGAGTCGCTGCACATTTCTGCAACTAGAAGAGAAATATAGAGGCTTAACAAAAACGGGTGGGTTCACCTTTGAAAGTAAAAACTGTGCCAAAAATATGTGTTTGCTAAACTTAAAAGTGAAATCAAAAGGGCCTAAATGGATGGCAGATGTGATGTAGAACATCTGGTTTTAGAGCGATCTTTCTCAAGATGCATGTTTGTTGGTAGTGGTTGTAGGGACCGGGAATGAAAAATAGTTTTACTCTTTAAAAAAACAAAAAAAATACAAAGAAAGGAACATACGCATGTCATGAAGACGATACCCATTTGTGTTAGTTGTGCAATATTTTGTAGGATTAAAAAAAAGGTGCAGTTTCATTTGACCACATTTTGATGCTGTTTATTTAGTTCAGGATCTGAGATGCTGGTCTGTGCATTTTTATTTATGAGATTATTTCCTAATGGAGAAAAATATCTATACATACTGTATATTATGGCGTTTCCTTTACATTTCTTTGTGTTGAGGAGTTTGTGACGAGCATAGCCTGAGGTGTAAGTTGGTAAAGTGAGAGTGTGCCGGGAGGAGAGAAGAACAGGCAACTTTATGGGGGGAATGTGACGTTTGCTTTGAAAAGATGTGAATGAGTAAGTGCCCAGTTAATGTAGGTAGATCAGTTTTATAGAGCGTACATGTCTAGTCGAGGTGTGTGTATTCAGATGTGCAGTCTACAAACCCCATCAGTGTTTTTTCTCAGATGTGTTTGACCTTTGTTTCCACACATACACACACACACACACGCCATTCACATCAGTTTGTGTTCAGCATCACCTAAGCAGTTAAGATTTCACTTTAAACTGATGACATGTAGACATTGTAGGATTTGGCTTTTCTTTAGAAAAGATCTGTGCTTGTATTTGTTGGTGAACACCTAAAGGATAAAAAAAAATCTGGAAAAAAAATGAATCTGACCTGGTGAGTGAATGTTTATAGTGGATGGGTAGTAAGGCATGCCATGTAAATTATTTTATAACTGTATATGTCACACATCTTTTTAATAAAATGTCATTGTTTGTGAAGGAAGCACCGGTCTTGTGTTATTGTTTAGATTCTAGAGGACAAGTGTGGTCCAGTTTTTACTTTGATGAAAATGCTCAACATTTTAACATTAAAAAATGAAGTCACCCAAACCTAACAGGATATTTTCGAAACACTAATGTATTTTATTTTTTTGTTTTTATATATTATATGACACAAATTAAACCAAAATTGTACAAGTCTGGTTACAATCAAAAAATGAACATTTGTTCATTTTAAAGAAATGTATTAGCCTTTTATTTTTTATTTTTAATACATTAAGAACTAATTTGTTTTTCCGGCCGGTTCAGTTTTTGGTAGAAATATACTAAACACTGACTGTAGAGTCCTGCTGAATAGAAAATATGTTTTATATTTATAAGTTTATAGCTCAATTTCACCGGGAGTGACATTTCTAACCAGACATTATTCACCTGATAAACAAGAACTCTGAAAGTGGTCTTTAACCATTTTAAAGGAGGGCGGTGGCGCCTGTCTCTGTCCGTGGTGCTGAATCGTGATCACGTGACCCGCCTCCCCGTGTGTTGGCTGCATGGTTTCCACCCCCTCTTCCTTTCAGACACCTTTTGTGTGTTTTTTATGAACCAACAAAAACAGACCGCTTCGGCTGCGTTTTTAATTTAAGCGCACAGACAATGCAGAGAGGTGTCTGTGCGCTTCTCTGAAGGCCGCGGATCGTTTCCTCAGCGCCATTTTTAGACTGCTCGGCTCGGTGTGTGATCATGGACAGCGACTACACGTCTGGATTGGAAAACCCTCTGTACAGCGAGCTGAAATACTTCTGTAGGAAAATACAGGAGGCCTACAACGATCTCAAGGAAGAGCTCACACCTTACCGTGATGATCGATTTTACAGGTGGGTGTTCCAACTCCGAGAATCACCAAAAACAAGGCACATCTCTTATATCTTATGTTATGATACATGTATAGCTACAAACGGATTAATTTCGTTGCATTATATTTTTGACTAACATGCAAGTGTAAAATGCAACAAAACCAAGAAAAAAATTCTATAAAATTAAAATAATCTATATAACCAGTGATATTTGATGTCAGTTATAAATATTGTTTCCTGGTCAAACCAAGAAGTGGTGGAGTTGCGGGAATAGATGTTTATTTATTCTGTATGTTTAATCAAATTATTTAGATAATTATGTGAAATCTGACTCTTTAAAAATTATTTATATAATGATGTGAAATCTGACTCTTTAATTGCAATGAAATGAAAAACTGCTAAAAAATTAACAGTGGGTGCTGTTGACTGACATCGTTCTACGCATGCGCTCTGCGCATTGTCGCGTAATACATTTTCCGATATCGGTCATCTTCAAAGTTTAAAACATTTTTTTTTACTAAGTTAAGGAAAGTACCTTTTACAATGAAAACAACAAATATACAAACAAGCAATTAATCTCAACTTAAACGCACAAAAAATAAAGCAAACAATCTGCAGGAGTAGAAACAAAGATTTTAGCAGGTTGTTGTATCATATAACCAACTGTTGTAACTTAACCAACTTAATCGCCTCACTAAACATACAAGTCCGAATTTAAATTACATTGTAATTATAATCTTGATAGTTTCTTAGCTAAAGCTATTCAAAACCGTAAAAAGGTAATCTCTTTCACATTTACAAGCAAAATGGGTGTAATGTGTATTCAAAATACTTGCAATTCTTATTTTTTGGCTAAGAAAAATACAATCAAGTTACCAATTAACCTTCGAACCCCTAAATAATGAATGAATATTTCATTACATTACTACTAATTGTAAATTTGATATCTGTATTTTGCCCATTCTCAGCAAGATTAATGTTAGACAAAACTGTGATGTTAGCAACAATAAACGATAACTGAGCCGCACTTGTATAGCGCCTTTCAGAGTCAGAGGACTCCAAAGTGCTTTGCACTATAGTGTATCATTCATCCATTCACACACACATTGACACACTGATGGTGATGAGCTACGATGTCACCACAGCTGCCCTGGGGCACACCGACAGAGACAAGGCTGCCAAGCACATTTTTATCCAATATTTATCCGTTATTAATATATATTTATTAATAAGGGTTTAATAAGGACATTTTGATAAACAGTGCTTCGAGCACAGTACAAATAAAATGTAACGTTTGAGTCCAAAGTTTTCATGTAAATTCTGATGGTCGTCCTTCTGTTCTTATATGATAAATCGGCTTACCAAACTTCCGGTGTCCTCGGCTCCTCCTACCTGAGAACTCCAGTTGTCGCAGACAGATGTAGGCACACGGATGTGGATTCACGGTGAAAGTTTCATGTATTTTCTCACCACAGAAACGGTCTGTCGAAAGAAATGGAGCTGTGAGTGTAATGTTTTATATCAGCGGACACGTTCGAGTTGTATTTCTTACGTAGCAATCTAAAAAGACGGGTGTTAAAATCCAGCGTGAAGCTTTCTCTTTCCATCTGCTAGCATAAAGTAACCACGGTGTTAGCATTGTTGACATGTCCGCTTTCACCACTTTGCAACAAACTCTAAACTAATAACAGATAATTTTCCGTTTGTGTTGGTCCTAACGAGTCTCTTCCTGTGACAGACTGGCCCCCATGCGCCTCTACACTTTGTCTAAAAGACATTTTGTCCTGGTTTTTTTGGTGTTCCTGATCTGCTTTGGCCTCACAGTCTTCATTGGGATTGCAGGTAAAAGTCAACCATCAGTTATCAAAGCGTTATTTTGTTCCTTAGTCTGTGTGGGTAACATGTATCCTGTTAGAGTCTGTTGTTGTTCTCTGGGTCATTAGCCTGAGAAAAATGTATTGATGTAAATTTTTTTACGTGTGTAGGTCCGAGGACTATTGCTGAGCAGAATAATGGTGATCAGTCAGTAGGAAAAAATGTTTCTGTAAAGGTAAGACGAACATGTCCGTGTGAGGCCCTTAGAGATGTAGGAAAATATAGATATAATAAAGTGTTGCCATATTTTGTGTCTTGATGTTGAATCTATTTTAAAAAGTGGAATGTTTTCTTTATTTAGAGTTTACATTTACTTTATTTCTTTTGAGTGGTGCAATTCTGTTTTGTATTCTTACTGGAGTTTTTTTAAAGGAGTAGTTTTTATAACATGGAATGTTGTGTTCGGCAGATGGGCATGTTTTATCTTTTTGTCAGTTGTGAAACTATTAACTCATTCACTGCCATTGACGACTAAAGTCGTCATTTTAGGTCCAACCGTTCACTGCCAATGACGACTAAAGTCGTCATTTGCATTTTTTTACTGTTTGAAAATGGGAACGAGCCCCCGCGCTGAGAGAACAAACATCTCAGCCCTGAAGCCGATCTTCATCCGCATACATCACACGTCACGTGATCAGGAAGCAGAACATCCATGTGTTAGGAGATCGTTTTGGGCCGTTCCTGTAAAAAAAAGTGAGGCGCGAACTGGAAAAGCGTCTGCCGATCACAATTCGACAACGGATTATGAAAGAACGGATAACGCTGAAAACACGCGGATTCTTCCTGATGTAAGAGGTGAGTCTCCGCTTTGTTTTGGCGTCGACATCATCCTAGCACGCAACGTTCTGTGACTTAAAAAAACTAAAAACTAGGGATGTAAGAAAATATCGATATGGCAATATATCGTGATTTTTTTCCCTGCGATTATTACATCGATATTCAAAAGCCGTAAAAGAATTTACATGCAAACATTTGTGTATTTACTTTTCGTTTTGTGCAATTCAATCGCCACCCGCTAGTTGGCAGCAGTGTGCAACGGGTTTTGTTTCCACCATTTAAAATGTAAATCCCTCCTTCATGGGTCAGACACCTCATGTTAAACATGTTACGTATCAGTTTGGACAGTTTATTGAACATTCTTACAATAAATTCAGTAAAAAAAAAAATTGCTTGTAACGTCTGACTGAATGTATTGCAATATATCGTGATACATCGTATCATCTCCCCTGTATCGTGATATGTATCGTATCGCCAGAATTTCAACAATACACATCCCTGGTAAAAACAGTGAGAAACGCTGGCAGCGAAGGCCGTTAGCGATCAGGAAACGGCTGGCAGTGAATGAGTTAAATAAGTAGCACAATATTAATATACAGCAACAGATAAAGCTAAGAATTTTTTTTCCCTGTGATTAACCTTGATAAAGTCTAACGGTTGTGTAATTCATTGTGTGATTTTAGGCTGGACTCTTTCAACTAGATTCTCCTCCTCTCACCACCTACAACCAGCAGCTGTGGCTCACCTGTGTGATGCAGGTTGAAAACAGCAACAGTAAGCCCGCACAGCGATTAACTGTTTAAGTTGGTTTGTTGGCACACTCTTCAAACCACCACTTCATTTTCTTTATGTCCAATAAAATGGCTGCTGTTTGTGCCAGTGGGAGACTTCAAGCAGCCGTTTGAGATCAACGTCGAGCTGAAGGGAGTGATGCAGGATGCTAGTGTGATGCACATCAAGACGGTGCAGCAGAAATCACGGACTCTGCACTGTGGTGATGTAAGTACCCGTCAACATCCTGACCATCATTTTCTGACAGCCAGCTGATCAGGCAATGTTCACTTCTGCTAAGGTGTGTGTTACAAAATGTTGTGACCAAAGGTGAAGTTTTATTACGGAGGTGATTAGAGGGATTGATTCCCTCAGAGCAGATTGTTGCATCCTTATTATTTTTCTTCATCATACAGAAATGTGATGAGATCATTGTGCTGCATTTGGGTTACCTGAACTACACTCGATACAAGGTTTCCATCAGCTTCAAAGGCCTTGAAAACATCACGTATGAAATCAAGGTCAATTTTATGGTCAGTAAAAACACCTGCATGTACGGTTTGTGATTGTTTGTTCAAAATGACTGTTTTTTCTTTTGGGATTTGTTTTTCTCAGTGGAAAACGTACAACCCCACCTTCTCACAAGTTGAGATATGGTTCCGCTTCGTCTTTGTGGTGTTAACCTTCATGGTCACGGTAGGCGCTCAGTTTACCTCAAAGGCCTGAAAAACTCGACACTCCCTCTGAAATTTGTTTGACCAGAATCGTGTTCTCTTATGTTTGTTCTAGTGCATGTTTGCTCACTCCTTGAGAAAATTCTCAATGAGGGATTGGGGCATCGAACAGAAATGGATGTCCATTCTGCTCCCTTTGTTGCTGCTTTACAACGGTGCGTGCTTCTCATCTCCTAAAGTCAAATTACTTCTAAACGTTCTCATCTGGAGTGAGTGTTGCAGCGGTCAGTAAATATTTGCTCCATTCCTCCAGGAAGCTGTGTTACAAAGCAGATTTTAAATACCTTTGCTTACCTTTTCTAATCTGGCTTCACCAAGCCTACTTGATAAACTTTATAAAGCAGCCCAGAACGATGACTGGTCACAGACACGGCAACAAAAATCAACATTTAGCAGTACAACTACAGAGAGATAACTCAGGATAATCAAATCACAACTCCAAAATAATTGCTGTTCTTCTCCAGATCCGTTCTTCCCGCTGTCATTCCTGGTGAACAGCTGGTTTCCGGGGACGTTGGATGCCTTCTTTCAGGCTCTCTTCCTGTGTGCTCTCCTACTCTTCTGGCTCTGTGTTTACCATGGCATCAGAGCTCAGGTGGGTATAGTCAGTCAGTCCCTTCATTTTGAAATTGTTGCTGAATCTTTAACATTTCATCTTTTTGCAGGGTGAGAGGAAATTCCTCACATTCTACTTGCCCAAGCTGATCATTGTAGGTCTTCTGTGGCTCTCAGCAGTTACACTTGGTATCTGGCAAACGTAAGTGTGACCTCCAAGTCCAACCAGCTTTATTCATACTGTTACCCCAGCTTTCCATCAGATGTGTAATCGCCGTGTAATGTCTCTGAAGCATACTAAGCAGCAGCAGCTGCTGTTACTGTCGACAAGTATGTTTCCACGGGGTGTGGGGTGGAGCGGTGCATCTTGGATGCATCCCAGAAGCGTAGTATTGCATCACTTTACATGCTATACTTGCGTCAAGTTTCGCAGGTCAAATTGGGTCAGACAGGAAGTCAAACACAGGAGCAGTGTAGGGCATCTGGCACCTTTCAAAATAAGACTTGCAGATTTCCGGTTGCTTAAAGACCAAGTTCACTAGTTTTTTTCAACACATATGCAGTGGTCTCTGGTATTAATGAATGCCTTGTGAGTTGATCTGTGTGGGGAAAAGGCTCTGGTTAATGGTCAGTGGCCTGTATTTGATGTAGCGCCTTCTTAGTGTTCTACAACCCACCAAGGCGCCTCACAACACAATTAGTTATTCACCCATTCACACTCTGGTCGGGATGAGCTACAGTGTAGCCACAGCTGCCCTGGGGCGCACTGACAGAGGTGAGGCCTGCTGAGCACTGGCACCACCAGTCCCTCTGACCACCACCAGCAGGCAAGGTGGGTTATGTTTCTTGCCCAAGGACACAACGGCAGCATCCTCTGGTCAGAGCCAAGATCAAACCTACAACCTTCCGATTACTGGACAACCCGCTCTACATCCTAAGCTACTGCTGTCCCTCTGGCACTCCTGGTTCAGGAACAAGAAGTGAGCCAGAGAAGAGTTGAGCCGAAGACGCCAGGATCTGGAGTTCTATTTCCTGATAATCGCACGTCTTGCCTCTGATTGGTTAACAGCAATGCGACTCTACCATTGTCTCTGTTTACTTTGCTACATTCATATTTAATCCCCACAAATATCACACACCTGAAGGAGTTCTGTTGTGTTGTGGAGTTGCTAATGCTAACGTTAGCTTCTACTAGCTTCTGTAATGTTACGTGTGGCTTACGCATGCGGTGGAAAGCCCGGGTTAAACAACAGCGCTGACTCTGCTTTACTGATATTTCAGGGTTAATGAGCTCCAGGATCCTACTTATCTGTATAAAGTGGATATTGTGAACTTTCAGGTAAAACAATTTCCTTTTCAAGACTTTGAATGAAGTTTCTTTTGTGATTTAAGTTCTTTTTAGCGTTTAGATAATATATTATCTTTCTTTAGGGTATGAAGGTCTTCTTCCTGATTGTTGTCGTCCTCTACATCCTGTACCTGACATTCCTGATTGTTCGAGCCTGCTCTGAACTGAAGAACATGCCTTACTCAGGTATTCCAGCGTCCCTCTTCTCTGATTCATCCTCAGCTTTGATCGTGATCCTAATGAGCAGCTGGTGCTTCTTTCACCTCCAGACCTCCGGCTTAAGTTTTTGACAGCTCTGACGTTTGTAGTCCTCGTTATAAGGTACATTCGAAGGCAGTAAAGCCTTTTATTTATTTTGATAGATGCTTTGACTCTATGCTGTTGTTCTAACCACTCTCTTTCCCCCCAGCGTGGTCATTCTGTACCTGAGGTTTGGTGCCAAGGCTCTCCAGGATAACTTTGTGGCTGAATTGTCAACTCATTATCAAAACTATATCTTTTCAGCAGAGTTTCATTGTGATTAGTTTAAGTTTAAATATTGTAGCTCAGAAAACTTCATTGATTTATCCTTAATTGAAAGATACCAGCTGAATTTTTATCCTTCTACGGCCTGCTCAACTTCTATTTGTACACATTAGCATTTGTGTACTCTCCCTCAAAAAACGCCCTTTATGGTAGGTAATACTTCAGCTCTTTCTTTAATCCAAATGCTTTTGTGTTTTACTACCATGTATGGAGACAATAATCCAACTTTTCCAGACTCCCAGCTGAAGGATAATCCAGCTTTCTCCATGTTGAACGACTCAGACGATGAAGTCATTTATGGGTAAAGATCTTGCTTGTTCGTTTTTCTGGGTTTCTGATCCTTTTAAACGCGCCAGAGCCAAACCCATCCATGTGTGTGTGTGTCTACAGGAGTGATTATGAAGACACGCCTTTACAAAACGGCCGTGCCAACAAAGTAACTGCCAAATACCGGGATGAGAGCGACAGCGACTGATGTACCCCACAGAAAACCAACCTTCCTGCTTCTGCCTGTTGGATATGATGCAAATTCATTGCAGCAGATTAACGTGTGCAACTATAACCAAGAAAGGATAGATACTGTAAGTGTACATAGATATATTTTTAAAAGGTAAATCTCTTCTTTGCTGATTGTATTGTACTTTTGAAAGATGAGGTGACCACTCAGAAAGGTGACACCGATGTGAAAGAATAACATTTTTAACCAATATTGTAAACGCATTTCTCCTCATCACCAGCGCTAACTTCACAACCTGATCGTTCAAAATATTCACATATCAGGAAGGGTTGTGCTAAGAGATGTGGACTTGTGTGGGATTGTTGTTTATTTTAATGATTTGTGTTGAGCCACTGCTGTCTTTATGTTTCTTGCTCTTTCTTTCATTCCCTTCTGCTCTCCGACAGTCTGAGGGTCGGTTAACCGCTGAAGGAAGCATAAGTTGCTCATTTATAAAATCTCTGTCCCATAAAAATACAAAAAGAGCCTTAACTACTGTAGGTATCACTAATTCTACCATTTCTGAAAAGCAGCTGTACATTTGCACTTCTACAAGTTTTATTTATTTTTCCATAAAGTGATGTATTAAATCATATGGATGGCTGGATTTTCATGATTTGTTTGTATTTTTTCTTAAACTCAACGAGATTGGGAATACCAACTCACTACATAATTATTTCCTATCCCAGCATATACAGAACTTGTATCGTTGGCCAAATTAATCTTGCCTTTGTTGAACAGATTTAACTTTAACAATATCGCCCGTGTTCTGCTTGCTTTAATTCTTCTGTTAGTCTGGAGCTGAAGGACAAACACAGCCAAAACAAATGTATTTTTGTTTTACACAAATATGTTTTCATCAAGATGGTGCCTTATCTTTCCTTGTCCTGCTTCTTAAATGGGCTCCAGTTTGTAAATGTGAACATGTTTGTTCAGTAGTTCATGTTTAAGGTATTTAAATGGTTTTGAAATGTTTCTCCCCAAGCTAAAGGATGAACATGTGACTGTCGTGTGATGTGTAAATAAAGCAAAATAGATACAGTACCAAAGTATTTTAATCAGTCGCACTTAACAGAGAACATGTCAAACTGTAGACTAGATGTGCCAAAGGATAACAGACCAACCGGGTTCATTTATATAGTGCCAAGTCATGACAACAGTCTTGTCAAGGCACTTCACAATGTAAACATTCTAATTAAGTATAAATGTATATATTTATTCATACGGTATGTTTCTAACTCCGGATGATGCGGGTTCAGATGGCCATAGAGCAAACAGTGAGGATGCAGTGCATGGAGCTGTTCTCCCAGTGTACTGTACAGGTTTCTGTTGGCGGGAAGTCACTTTGGTTTACATCGTTAAAAACACAAAGAACACCAATAAACAGCTAAATTTGCATGATTAGGAAAGGGGAGGGTCTACCATCAGTGGAGTTGTCCCAGAAGCACGAGTTGGCTGCTTGCAGTCCTGCCCCAGTCTTCTCCATGATGACACAAGAAGCTAAAGGTGGAGGAAAGTTAAGAATACAAGAAAACAGGGCAATGAAAAGCTATCTGCCACCTCTGTGGATTTCTTATGTTTGCTGAATCGTTTCAAACTAGCAAACAAATTTCATCACCAAAGAGTAGACACAAAATGTCATTACAGATGATTTCACTTGGTTAGGGGGTCAGAACTGAAGATGAAACAATAATAAGAAACGGTTCCAAGTCAAAACTCTCTGCTGAGCAGACAGAATGCAAAAGCTCATCTCACGTTTGCCACAAACATTTTGATCCCCAAAACCTGACTGCATTTTCTGCAGAGTGACGATGAGACAAACGTGGAACTGTCCTAAAGGTGTGCGTCCTGCTCTGTCTGCTGTAAAACTTACAGTTTACATCAGGAAAAGATCACACCGACAGTCAGCCATGAAAGTGGGGTGCTGTGGTAGCTCTGGGCAGCTTTTCTTTGTCAGGATCTAAATGACTTGCTGCTCTCTACCAGAAATTCATCAAGGAGAAAATCCCACCACCAGTCAGTCACCATTAACTCAAGTGCACCTTGAAGCAGGACACCAGCAAGTCCACCTATGAATGGCTGAAAAGAAACGTGAATGATTTGGATCGACTTAACGAAAGTCCATATTTGATTGATTAGCTCAAGCTGGAAAACCCTCCAATGTGGCTGCAGTAAAACAATTCTGCCAATCGGTATTTGAGATTCACTCGAGTTAACACAAAGGTTAGCTATTCATTTATCCTGCTAAAATATGTATCCAGCAGAGTTTTAAATAAATATTGATGCTTTTGTTTTGATTACCTCGAAACATTCGTCCATCTGTTTTGGCATTGCCCTCATAATCAATCCTTGTGCCCAGTCTGTCACTTGATTTCAAATTAAATAGCTAAAGATATTATTTTATTTTGGAAGACCCAGATTAGATTGAATAGCTTTTATCTTAATAAAAAGAAATCATAATTAAAAAAATGCATTTTGTGTTTACTCAAGAGGGTTAGAGCCACTAGAAAGAAAAAGGATTCTGACTTTAATCTCAGAAGTCTAAAATCAGATTTTTGAGATTAAGAATTTTCTTTTCAGTGCCCCTAATCCTCTAATCATTGACACTGAAAGTTATTTGCTGATGAGAAACTTTGAAGTGTGAAATAAATGAGCAAAACCATAATAAATATTGCTGTCAGCAGCACATACCTATGTATTTAAAAGGTTGTCTGAGACTGCTGAGTTGGCCGAGGCACTGCTCAATCACTATGGTTGTCCACTGGTTCACTCTGCTGTGCTGGTAGCTACTTTCTCCTATGGTTGTTTTAAAACACTACAAGAAGAATACAAAGTATAACTTAAAAGACAAATTTAGATACATGTATGTTTATTTGTTTGACAGACGCCTTTATCCAAAGCAGCGTCCAATGTTTAACCTATGGAGCATGTTGTGATCTGTGGGGAGCTTAGCAACCGTTTGAGTCCTTAGCAACCAAACAATGACAAACTTAAATTTACCAAAACAGACTAAAACATTATTAATAATACATTATTTGTAGCAGCATGAACAGTTTTTATGTTCTTACGTCTACTGCGATTCTCGCCAATGCTCTGTCGAGGGGGATTGGCTACGGAAAACAACAAAACAGAGTATAAGCTAGCAAGAAGCTCAACAAATGCTAAGATAAACTAGGCAATTGAAACACAACTACATTTGTTTAAACAAAGCAAAGTATGTATTTAATCACAAATTTGAAGCACAAAACCTACATATACTTCGGCCATTGTCACAATTTTAGGCGTGTATATTAATGTCGACGGCGTCAAGGCAACCAAGGTGGGCGGCGAAATTTCACTTCCTGTAATTTTCCTTCAGAATAAGTTTCTTTAGTGACTAATTTATTGTCACTTCACCAGCTTCCTGAAGCATAGACATTTGTCTCAGATAATGAGACAAAATATGTTCATTAACTGTAATTTTAGCTATATTAATAAAAAAAATCTTTACTGTGAATAAAATCCAGTATGAGAAGCTAAAAGGGATACTGAAACACAATTAAATTGTGACATTGTTTGTCTGAACTAGCCATTCAACAGCATTCGTCTTATTTATTTATTGATTTATTTTCAAAATGTAATCCTATACAACTATTTGTCTATTACTAAACATTTATTTCATATGAATACAACTTTTCCGGAAATCAAAACAGTCGGACACTGCAAATTAGGCTTCAAAATAAAAGCTTCTAATGTGTTTCTTTTTCTCTTTTAGAGGCAACACTACACAGAGATGAAATAAGATAATAACAATAGTAACTTTCATCCATATGTAGCTGCTGAAGATGAAAACGCAGTGTTTCTTTTAACATTCAAAACCAAGTAGCCCATAGGAAAATGAGAAAATAAATTATTATTATTATTATTATTATTATTATTATTATTATTATTATTATCATTATTATTATTATTATTATTATCATCATTATTATTATTATTATTATTATTGTTATATCCATCCATCGGAAAGTGTGTGGGCGGGTTACAGTTCACATTCTTCTCCAGTTGGTGGCGGTAATGCAGAAGTCGCTTATTAACCGCCATAGAACAAAGAAGAAGATGCCAGGGGACGTCATTTGGAATCGTGGGAATTCCAAGGAAGGTCCCGCCTTTTTCGCCTCTGACAGGCTTTTTAATATAAGAGGAAATCGTCTTCCCTCGTTGTAGGGTTATATGTTTACAGCCAGATCTTAAGGAATTTTATGCAGAATACACGTAATAGCTGCTTAGAGACGGAGCAACATGACTCTAGCATAGCAGCTAATTGCTAGCATAGCGGTTTGACCAGTTATATCGATATAAAGATATAAAGTCATCTTATGTCTTGTTTAATAATTATAACGATATTTTAAAAATATCGATATATCGCCCAGCCCTAATATATATATATATGTATGTATATGTGTATATACACTGCTCACAAGAATTAAAGGAACACTTTTTTCATTGGGCCTGGCATCAAATCAATTAAACCTGTCTGATAATTTCCTGGTTGATTAAGCAGCTGAGGGTATTGTTAATCACTTTCAGCTGTATTGGTGCTCATGGACTCAATGACAGGTGCACTAAAGTGGCAACAATTACAAAACCCTCAAAACAGGACTCAAGTTTCTCCCTCTTGATCTTTTTTGGCTGGTTTTCCACTCATGCTAGTTTTGGCTCTCTACTGGCAGTATGAGGTGATTCGTTAACCCTACAGAAGTTGCACAGGTTGTCCAACTTCTCCAGGATGGCACATCCACACGTGCTGCAGCAAGAAGGTTTAATGTGTCTCCCGGCACAATCTCCAGAACATGGAGGAGATTTCAGGAGACTGGCGGTTATTCTCGGAGAGTTGGACAGGGCCGTAGAAGGTCCACAACCCGTCAGCAGGACCGATACCTGCTCCTTTGTGCAAGGCAGAACAGGCTGAGCACTGCTGGTGCCCTACAGAATGACCTCCAGAGGGCCACTGGTGTGAATGTCTCTATCCAAACAATCAGGAAGAGACTTCATGAAGATGGCCTGAGGGCCCGATGTCCTGTAGTGGGCTCTCTGCTCACTGCCCAGCACCGTAGAGCTCGACTGGCATTTGCTCAAAAACACCAGAATTGGCAAGTCTGCCACTGGCGCCCTGTACTTTTTACAGGGGAGTGCAGGTTAACCCTGAGCACCTGTGATAGACGTGAAAGAGTCTGGAGAAGACGAGGAGAATGTTATGCTGCCTGCAACGTCGTTCAACATGACAGGTTTGGTGGTGGGCCAGTGATGGTCTGGGGAGGAATATCCATGGAGGGACGCACAGACCTCTACTGCCTAGAAATGGTATGGAGATGAAATCCTTGAACCCTTTGTCAGACCCTACGCTGATGCAGCAGGTCCTGGTTTTCTCCTAATGCACGACAATGCCCGGCCTCATGTGGCAAGAGCATGCAGGCAGTACCTGCAGGATGAAGGAATTAAAACTACTGAATGGCCTTCACGATCCCCTGACTTAAACCCAATAGAACATCTGTGGGACATTATGTTTCGGTCCATTAGGCGGCGCCAGGTTGCTCCTCAGACTGTACAAGAGCTCAGGGACGCCCTCACACAGATCTGGGAGGAAATGCCACAAGACACCAGCCGTTGTCTCATTAGGAGCATGCCCCGACGTTGTCAAGCATGCACACGAGCTCGTGGGGGCCACACAAGATACTGAAAAGCAATTTGAGTTGCAGAAATTAAGTTTTTGAAATAATGGACTAGCCTGCCAGATCTTCATTTCACTCCGATTTTAGGGTGTCTACACAATTGAGCCCTCTGTAGGCTGATAACTTTTATTTCCATTAAAAGACTTGGCATCCTTTTGTTCCTAAGACATTGCCCTGTCGTTATTTGTCTAGATATCCAAATTCATATTGAGATCTGATCTATCTAATGTGTTTCTTTAAAGTGTTCCTTTAATTTTTGTGAGCAGTGTATATATGTGAATGTGTATATACTATATGTATATGTGTATATGTATATATATATGTGTGTATATATGTATATGTGCATATATGTTAATGTATGTATGTATGTATGTGTATGCATATATGTATATGTGTATATATATATATATATATATATATATATATATATATATATATATATATATATATATATATATATATATATATACATACATATATAGACATACATATATATGTATTTATAAGTATATATATATATGTTAATGTATGTATGTATATGTATGTGTATGCATCTATGTATATGTATGTATATATATGTATATGTATATATATGTATATGTGTAGCGTAGACAATCTACATACTAGGATTTAACGCTGTTTGCTATCAGCTTTGTTAGATCCTGAGAAAGATCAAACAATATTAGCATATGAAGCTCATATCATATATAAATGTCCAGGATATTTATACAATTGATAGAAGTTCATACACCAATGGGCTTGGTCTATATTTAATCCAAAGATTAATATTTAATTTAAGAAATTTAATTAATAGCAAAAGTTTATTTATTAACTTAATGGAATCTTTGCTTATTCAATAACCAAATATACACCTTTCTGTGTTTCATTTCAAAGAAGAGTCAGGTTTGAAAAGTTAAGAATTTATTACTATCAATTTAAAGATGGCAATTTTAAATTGACAATTTAGAAATGAGAATTTAGAAATGACTTTGATGTTAAACTTGGTATTAAAAGCAAACCTGTGTCTGAATGGAAACTAAAGTGGAATGCGATCTTTGGATGTGTGGATGAATCTCAGAAGATTTCTTTCAGAGAGAGAAACGCGTTCTGGGTGGAAAAGTTGTTTTGCAGCTAACTAAGTTATTTCTTAGAGATAACAGTATACAGACGCCATCTGTCGGAAGTGTCTTCCTCACCCAGGCAGGAGACCCTCTGTTGGATCTGAGATGTCAGGTGGAGATGATGTCCTCCTAGCACGAGGTTGGTAGACGGACCTTGGTGCGACCAAATCGGTCCTGAGATGTCTCCAGGTCATAACGACTGATGAAAATGGTTGTGTCTCAAAATCAATACCTCTGAAGGAGTTTTGCATCAGCTGGTTATAGGTGGCTTTTATTTGGAGCAATTCTATTGGCGTGACAGAACAGCTTAGGTGGAGGCTTCAGGGCGGCCGACCCTTATCCTCAGACTCTGGTGCCGCCGAGAGCTTTTGTTTGGTTCAGAACTGGACTTGAGCTGAGGAGTTTTTGGTTTTATTAAAACCTCAGAACACGCCCTCTCAGAGATAGAAAGCTTGTTGTTATGGAGCAAAGCCGTGAGAGCAAGTTACCTTTACCCTGGTCTGCCCCCTCTGCATGGTGTGTACACGCGCAAATGACCTTTGTCACACTGTTAAACATTACTGATTATCATAAATAATAATTATTATTAACCAAAGAATAATAAGTCCTTTCAGTAATTAAATACATTTATAATCAACCATGATGATTATTTATGATGATTATTATGAACCTTGTAATAAACTGTGAAGAGTTTATTAAAAATGATTATTTTAAATCTGGAAGTGTCCTTCATCTTGCGGAGGAACAGCAGACAGATAAAAGGCAGTCAGATTAAAGATGGTTTTAGCAGACTGTACGTCTCCGGTGATTTATATTCTGTGGACAAAAGGTCAGCCAGTACAGTGTGACCTAGCTGGGGAAGTGTGACCTATGTGTCACAAATGAGTAAGTAAAGGTGTATTTATATAGTACCTTTCACAGATATAAATCACAAAGCGCTGTACAACATGATAACGATCAGGGCAAATACCTCTAACCAATAAAAACACCAGAAAAATAGCAGTGATAAACGTAGAAAATAAAATGAGTATAAACAAAGTGAAGGTGTGAACCCAAACAAAGCCATCATTCTGAAACAGGCCATTCATGTCACTACATATGCATATGTGTATTAATGTGTGTGTGTATGCATATGTATATATGTATGCATGTAGATGTATGCATATGTACATGTATATGTATGTATATGTAGTCAACTTCAGGGTTCATTTCAAGATCCTGGTTCTGGTCTATAGGGCCTTACATGGACAAGCACCATCTTACATTGGTGATCTTAGTCCCTACACCCCCAGCAGGTCCCTGAGGTCCAGTGATCAAAGCCTACTGGTTGTGCTGCACCAGGCTAAAGGTCAAAGGTGACAGGTCATTTGCTGCTGTGGCCCCCAGACTCTGGAACTCTCTCCCCCTGAGCCTGAGATCAGTGGACTCAGTGGTCTCCTTTAAAAAGCAGCTGAAGACTCACTTGTTCAGGCTGCCTTTTGTATGACCTTCTTCACCACTCTCTCTTTATTCTGCTCTCCCCACCTATTCCACCTTCCTCA